TTCCAAAAACTCGCTGATGAAAAATCAGAAATCTAGTACTTGTTAAAATAAGACTGATTTTGGCAGATGACCCACTCTTCAAAGAAAATAAAGGGTGGGTGGGCGGGGCTAGTACTTGTCAAGATGAGACTGATTTTGGCAAATGACATATCCTCTAAGAAAATAAGGGTGGGTGGGCGGGGCTAGTACTTGTTAAAATAAGACTGATTTTGGCAGATGACTTACTCTTCTAAGAAAATAAAGACTGGGTGGGTAGGGTTAGCACTTGATAATAACCAAAAAATTTAAAAATCAAAAAATGGCAAATTGAATAATCGGATAAATGAGAAATCGGAAATTTGTACAACTGTATAATCGGAAAATCAAAAACTGAAATATCGAAAAATCGAAAAAAAAAACAAACTTATAAAATCGAATTCGAAATTCCAGTTTTCATTTTTTTTAGTTTTTAGATTTTTCAACTTTTGAATATTTCATTTGCTAATTTGTTTGACAATTTTGCAGTTTTTAATTCCAATCTTTTGATTTTTCAAGTTTTAACTTTACGATTTTTGAATCTTTTGATTTTTAATTTTTCAAGTACTCAAGTTAAAATTTTTTCTTTTCACGATTTGTCATTTTTCGATTTTTTAACTAACCGAAATTTTGAAAAATTGAAAATTAGAGATAAAATTTTCAGATGTTTTAAAGCTACGGTAAACATGGCAAATCGCTGATCAAAATTACTTTTTACTTCCTTCGAAAAACTCGGTGATAAAAAATAAAAAATCTAGTACTTGTTAAAATAAGACTGATTTTGGCAGATGACCCACTCTTCAAAGAAAATAAAGGGTGGGTGGGCGGGGCTAGTACCTTTTCTTTGAAGAGTAGGTCATTTGCCAAAATGAGTCTTATTTTGGCAAATGCTAGCAAATTTCGACCCATTTTCGACTATTTTCGAAATTTAACTAAATACTTTTTCTTGTAGATTTCGGGGCGCAAAAGTCACTTCCTGCCTCATTTCTTCGACAACTTTAACCTTTTTTCCAGAATTAGATAATTAATTCAGTGCATTGAAATATCACAATTTTTAAAAATTTCAAAAAATTACCTATAGGAAGAAGATCTTGCGTCATTTTTGCAAGTAGCTGCATGTTTTCAAGTTCAGTTCGACTTCAACTAGCCTCTGTTCGGATTACTGGATGTTCGGACAATCGTGGGTTCGGATTATAGAGGTTATACTGTATATTTACTTGTCCCCTCCAAAAAATTGATGACGCCACCCCAAAATTTTCCCGAAAAAATGCTATCTTAAATGTGTATTGTGCAAAGTATGATGAGTCTATAATTGTGATTTATCATTGCAAAAATATTTTTTAGATTTGCTTATACGGGGTGTGTGAAAAAAATTAATGACTGAGTCAATTTATTTTATTGATTAAATCAAGAATTTCAAAACTGAATACTTTGAAATCTTGACGTTTTGAAGTTATTGTAAGCATGGTAACTTTTTAATGAAAATGTATCTGTTTATCAACCCCAAAAAATTAATTACGGCATCTCAAAATTTTGCCGAATAAATTCTTTCGCAAATGTGCAAAATATAAACAGACTTTTAATCATTGCATTAATATTTTTTAGATTTTCTTAAACAGGTGACTCAAAAAAATTAATGAATCAGTCAATTTATTATTGATCAAATTAAGAACGAGCCACCCCATTTTCTGGAAAATGTGAGAAGCGCTCGTCTTTATAACAATAAAATAATGATAAGGTAAGAATTATAGTAATAGTAATAGTAATAGTAATATATATTTGTGTTACCATACAAAATATTTACACACGTCATAAAATAATTAACAAAAGCTTAATACTAAATCATAACTAACAAAGGAAAAGCACATTAGTTTTGCATTGATTTCATAAATTGAAAAAATTCTTCAAACGAGAAAAATGCATTTTGTATCAGTATTTTCTTAATACATACTTTAAATTGATTGAGATTAGCCTTTTTCATTGCAGTAGGTACCGCATTGTAAAATTCCACACAATAGTGAGCAATGCTATTTTTAGATCTTTTAAGTCTAATGAAATCATTTCGCAACAAATGCCTATATCGAGTGGCGTATTCATGTTCGCCAGAGCCATAATTCGCTTGGTTTTGATAAATGAATAAAAGACATTGCAATATAAATTCACACGGAACTGTAATAATACCAAATTTTGTAAACAATTGTCGACAATCTTCTCTGTATCCGAGTCCACCAATAACCCTAACACATTTTCTCTGAAAAGCGAATATCCTTCCAGCATGAGCAGAATGACCCCAAATGAGTATACCATAAGAGATAATACTGTGAATTGTGCCAAAATAAGCAGTAACAAGAATATTTTGAGAAACAACACTATAAAGCTTGCGGAGCAGAAATAATTTAGTTGCCAATTTTTTTAACATATGATCAATATGAATCTCCCAGGTCAATTTCCCATCAAGATAGAAACCAAGAAATTTTACGTAGTCATTTTTATTAATCTCATTTGAAAGTGAAAAAAGTAAATGTTGCGTTTTGTCTTTATTGGCTAACAATTTGTTGGCTGAGAACCAATTACTTATTTGTGTTTCGGCTTCACTTGACATTTCATTTATTCTGTTAATATCTTTCCCACAAATTAAAACTGACGTATCATCTGCAAATAAAACCAATTTACCATCTAAAGTTAGACTTGATATATCATTAATGTAAACCAAAAATAAAAATGGCCCAAGCACTGACCCCTGCGGCACTCCTGCAACTAATTTTTGCTTAGATGATGCTGAATTATTGAAATATACATATTGTTGCCTGTCAGTCAAATAAGATCTGATCAATTTTAAGCTGTTTTCAGAACGAAGATAATATTTTAACTTGTATAATAATATATCATGACAAACAGTGTCAAATGCTTTTTGCAAATCAAATACACTTAATAAAGAATTTTGTTTTTGTTCGAAAGCCCTTAGTATCTCCGAGCATAACGAATTTGTAGCTAGAGTTGTTGATCTCTTATTGCGGAAACCAAATTGTGAATAATTGAAGAGTGATAAACTTTCAAAGAATTCGCTTAACTGATTTTTCAATATCGTTTCAAATATTTTACCAAATATTGGAACCAATGAGATGGGACGGTAATTTTTTGTGGAATTAATATCCCCTTGTTTTTTAAGAATCGGTACAACTTTAGTTACTTTTAGTTGTATTGGAAACGTATGCTCTTGTATGCAATGGTTTATTACCTTTGTCATTGGAATAACAATTAGATTTAAAATTGTTTTTAACATTAATATGCATATATTATCAGTATCTTTACTTTTAGAATTTTTCATTTTTGAAACTATATCACGGACTTCATTAAAAGTGACATCCTTAAAAGTGAAACTTGCATCGTAATCTGAAGTTAAGTACGATCGGAAATCTTGTCCAAGTGTTGGAATATTTCCCTGCAAATTTGAACTCAAATTTATGAAGTAATTGTTAAAATCTTCACATGAGATAATGTTTGTACTTTCAATACTCTTTATTTTGCTTTCAGAATCTATAATCTGCCACATTGCTTTTTGCTTATTCAAAGAATTATTAATATAATTGTCATTGTAAGATTTTTTTGCTTTAGCCAATTCTTTAGCGTATACTTTTTTTTGATGTTTAAGATAAGCTGCACTAATTTGATTTTGGTTAGCAAGTTCACAATAAAATTTAACCTGTTCCCTCATCGCCCTAAGTCGTTCCGTAAACCAACTCCCTTTTATTTTTGTTATGTTCGTGGTTCTAAATGTTTTTAAAGGGAAACAAATTTCTACGGCATTTACAATTTTTTTATAAAAAGTGTCAAACTTCTCTTGGCAATTTAAAGTATTATTATCTACAAAGTCCCAATTTACTTGTTCCATATGATTATAAAATTTAAACAAACCTAATTGTGTTACAGGACGATGTGTTATTTCTTTTTTTACTGTATTTATTTTGGAAGTCATAAATGTAATACAAACACCAGCATGATCAGATAGTCCAGGGTTGTAAGCGGTTGCTAAATATTTATCTGCGGACAAGTTTGTGAAGATATTGTCCAGGCAGTTTTTGCCTCTAGTTGGGGAAGTAATAAGTTCTTTTAAATCAAACGACCTTAGGAGATACCTTAACGTTTGCACTTGATTATCATTTAAATTAAAGTAAGTATTAAAGTCACCAGAAATAATAATTAGTTCATTTTTTTTACACATTTCAGTTAATAATAATTCTAATTGTAGGAGAAATATGTCGAAACTACCTTTAGTGGATCTGTAGAGAGAAATTATGTTAAAATTTCTAAATTTAATAGCTGCAAATTCAGCATGAATTTCTTTGCAATATCTTTCGACCTTTAAAGTTTTACATAAAGGTAAAACAGAGTTATGGACAAATATACTTACACCACCATGTATATGTTCGCGTCGACAAAAATGTGACAATAACGTATAGTTTTCAAATAAACAGACAGCTAACTGATCCTCTTGTAACCAGTGCTCATTGATGCACAGAATATCAAGCGGTTGATCAGCCTGTAGAAATGTATTCGTTTGAAGAATTTTGTTGCTAAGGCTTTGAATGTTCAGCTGAAAAAGATTTATAACAGAATCATTTGAATTACACAATGTAAAATTATTTTTCCTCATATAATAATAACATTCAGAATATTTTGTTCAATTGAGGCTTATGAATAAATTTAGTCATCTATTTTGGGACGATAAACTCATTCAAATCAAACAAATGTCTACGTGACATTCTTCCGATGAAATGAACAATTCATCACAATTGAGGTTGGGCCGGGTGGGTGGGGCTTATTTTTAACTTAAACATGTTTTACAAACCCGACGAATAAAAAAGTCATCATAATTGAGATAAGACGCGACAAGAAACTGAAAAAATCTTTTGACAGTGACATTAGTAATGACTACCAATCTTGAAAACATGAATAATAATAAAACTTTATCTATTTTTCGCATGTATTTCTACAATAACAAACTTTCAACTTATGACACTACTAAAACACACACTAATCCTTCGTCAGATGTTTCCTCAACTGATGCTTCCGCAAGTACGACTCACACTTCGTCCTGAACTTACACTCGTCGCATTTCACCACCTTTTTATCCACATGTACCAAAGCATGTGCCTTCATCCGGCTCTTCAACTTGGCTTCAAACGGGCATTTATCGCACTTAAACCACTCCGCATTCTCCGGCTTATGCACCAAAATAATGTGACACTTCAAATTACCCTTCGTCTTGCTCTTATACGAGCACAAATGGCATATAAACCACTTCACATCTTTTCCTTCTGTGTGCTTATACACCACGTGAGTCCGCAAAGTCTTCCTGTATTTCGTCTGAAAAGAACACTCTTCGCACGAATATAGAACACCTTTATGCTTCACCATGTGACTACTAAGCTGGTGCTTTTTTTGGGTGCGGAAAGCACACTGGGTGCAGTTGAACCACTCATCGCTGGCTGAATGTTGTCGTTTGATGTGGGTTTTTAACCACGCGTGTACGGTAGTACTGAAGGAACAGTCTTCACAGTGAAACAGTTTGAGGCTGTCTGAGGCTGGGTGCTGAATGGATATGTGTTTTTGCAAGTAGTACTTTTGTTTGAATTGTTGCGAACACTGGTGGCAGCGGTAACTTTTGGCATCCGGAGATGCGTGTTTCCGGGAAATGTGGCCTTTAAGGTGTTCTTGGAATTTGGAGCGATATGGACACTTTTTACACTGGTGCCAGTTTATGTCAGTATGGACGTGTTTGGCCAGTTTGTGTCTCGTTACACCATATTTGCGAATGGATTTAAACTCACATTCATCGCATTTGTGGTATTTTTTGGTTTTCTTCTGTTGGTGGACCTTTTCTTGCTTGTTGTTTTCCACTTCACGATTTTCTTTCTCTCTTTCTTGTTCAGGTTTTTCAATCTTGATTTCGGTTTTGTGAGTTTTAACGTGAGTGTTAAACTCTATGGTTTCGAATGTGCTGAAATTACAGTCTTTGCAAAGAAATGTTTCTGGGGTGCTCTTCGTGCAATCGAATGATTTCAAGGACTTTGGAATACGATGGCGCTTGATGTGGTTTATTATGGAAAATAATGATTTAGTGACGTAGGTGCACTTCTTGCAGTTGTGGACCATTCCATAGTTTTGAGTTTTTAATTTTTGAAATTTGTGGCGGTTTGAAAATTCCAAGGTCGGCATATTCGTTGCCCTAAAATTTTATGAAACTTATATATGTACACTGTATTGAAAAAAGTTGCGGCAATTCTTTACTTTAGATCGCAGTTTATGTCTGATTTTTAAACGTGGAAATTCTTGTTTGGTGGATTATTTAGTCTTTGAGTGTAATTACATGTTTATTGAGTTGCCTATAAAACAGATTAAACGTCAAAATAAATGTTTTTGCAAGAAACGAATGTGTGAACTACAATATCAGGATGGTGTAGTATGTCAATATATAATTCATTTTTCGAAAAATGCTGAGACCTGAAGTAAATAATGACCAGGATGGTAGTTTTAAAATTTATTTACCTAATATTAGCTCACAACGTAGCAACACTTCTGGCGAACCCAATGACCAACACCGGCACACTAACAAGCAACAAGTGTTCTTATTACTTCTTACCTGGTTTAGAAATTCCGATACGGTGGAGAAAGTCATAGAGGGGGTCTTATCGGTTTTCATGAAAGAGATTACGTTGGCAGCACTGTTCTAGCAGACAGCAACACAAAAAACATTTAGGTCAGTTTTATTATTATTATTTTAATAAGTTGTGATTTCAGGAAAAGTATTCAGGCACAACAGTAATTAGAGCGTATTTAATAGTAGTAGGTCACGTTGCCAACCTTACTTTTTATCAAGTGAACAAACCAAAACGTCCAGATTTTTGGAAAAAAAAGTCAAAATCATGAAACAACATTTTGCAATTTCAAGTTATGATAAGCATGATAAATTTTTAATCAAAGTATATTTGCTTATCCCCTCCAAAAAATTGATGATAAACATCTTAAAATTTTGCTGAATAAATTCTACGCAAAATGTGCACAATATGATAAAATAAAAATTTAAAAACCGGATAAGCGAAAAATCCAAATCTTGATAAATCGAGAAATCAAAAAACTTAAAAATTCGAAAAATTGAAGAATTGAAATATTGAGAGATTGAAAAATCGAAAAATTGCGAAATCGAAAAAACAAAAAGTTGAAAGTTGGAAAATTGGGAAAGCGGAAAAATCAAAAAACGAAAAAATGGAAAAACTGAGAAACCGAAATAGGCTAAAATAAAAAATTGAAAAACTGATAAATCGAAAAACCGAGCAATCAGATCTCGATAAAGGGAAATGAAAAATTAACAAATCGAAAATTTGAAAAAACGAAAAATTGAAAAACAGAACATCTAAAACCGGGAAGTCGAAAAATCGAAAGATTAAGAAATATTGAAATATTAAAATATCAAAAGACTGAAAAATTTCAAATTTAAAACCCCAAAAATTGAAAAATAAAAAAAAAGTAGACACATCGAGAAATCCAGAAGTCAAAAATAGAAAAGTCGAAAAATCGAGAAAACAAAAAAGTGAAGTCGAAAAATAGAAAAATCAAAAACCTGAAAAATCAAAAAAGTAAAGAATTGAAAAGCAGAAAATCTAAAACCGGGAAGTCGAAAAATCGAAAGATTAAGAAATCAAAACATTTGAAAACTTCGAAAACTAAAGAAATATCGAAGAACTGAAATGAAAAATCGAGAAATCGAAAAATCCAAAATTTTAAATAATTGAAAAATTAAAAGATCAAAAAACTGAAAAATATAAAATTTAAAAATCGAAAAATTTCAAATTGGAAAAAGTAAATCGACACAGAAAAATCCAGAAGTCAAAAGTCGAAGATTCGAAATATTGAAAAATCCCAAAACTGAAAAATCGAAAAATCAAAAAAGTGAAGTCGAAAAATAGAAACCCCAAAAAATTGAAAAAATGAAAAATCGAAACCTGAAAAATTGAAAAATTAAAAAAATGAAGAACAGGAAAATCGAAACACTCGAAGGTCAAAAAATGGGAAAATCAAAACATCGATTAATTGAAAAGTCGAAAAATTTATAAAAGTCAAATTTGAAAAATTGAAAAATCGAAAATTTGAAAAAACGACAATTGAAAAACAGAAAATCTAAAACCGGGAAGTCGAAAAATCAAAAGATTAAGGAATCGAAACATTTGAAAAATTTGAAAACTTGAAAAACTGAAATATCGAAGAACTGAAATGAAAAATCGAGAATTTGAAAAATCTAAAATTTTAAACATCGAAAAATTAAAATATCAAAAAACTGAAAAATCTAAAATTTAAAAATCGAAAAACTGAAAAAACGACAATTGAAGAACAGAAAATCTAAAATCGGGAAGTCGAAAAATCGTAAGATTAAGAAATAGAAACATTTGAAAAATTGAAATATTGAAGAATTGAAATTAAAAATCTCGAGAAATCGAAAAATTGAAAAATCGAAAAAGTAAAAAATCGACACAGAAAAATCCAGAAGTCAAAAATGGGAAAATCGAAGAATAGAAATATTAAAAATTGAAAAATTCCGAAACTGAAATATCGAAAAACCGAAAAACGCAAGAAAAACTGACAAATCCAAAAACTGAAAAATCCCAATACTGAAATATCCAAAAATTGAGAATCTAGAAAGTCTAAAAATTGAGAAATCGAAAAATCAAAAAAGTGAAGTCGAAATACCGCTTAATTGAAAAATCGAAAAATTGAGAGTTTATAAAAGTCAAATACGAAAAATTGAAAAATCAAAAATTTGAGAAAACGACAATTGAAAAACAGAAAATCTAAAACCGGGAAGTCTAAAAATCCAAAGTTTAGGAAATCAAAACGTTTGAAAAATTCGAAAACTTGAAAAATTGAAATATTGAAGAACTGAAATGAAAAATCGAGAAATCGAAAAATCTAAAATTATAAATATTGAAAAATTAAAATACCAAAATTGAGAAATCTAAAATTTAAAAATCGAAAATTTGAAAAATCCAGATGTCAAAAATGAAACAGTCGAAGAATAAAATATTGAAAAATCCGAAAACTGATATATCGAAAAATTGAAAAATGAAAGAAAAACTGTAGAATCGAAAAATTGAAAAAGTCCAAAACTGAGAATCTAAAAAGTCGAAAAATTGAGAAATCGAAAAATCAAAAAAGTGAAGTCGAAATATCGAAACCTAAAAAAAAAATTGAAAAATTAAAAACCTGAAAAATCAAAAAATAAAAGTAGGAGGAAAATCGAAACAATCGAAGGTCAAGAAATGGGAAAATCAGAACATCGATTCATTAAAAAATCGAAAAATTGAGAGTTTATAAAAGTCAATTTGAAAAATTGAAAAATAGAAAATTTGAAAAAATGACAATTGGAAAACGGAAAATCTAAAACCGGGAAGTCGAAAAATCAAGAGATTAAGAAATCAAAACATTTGAAAACTTCGAAAACTGAAAAAACTGAAATATCGAAGAACTGAAATGAAAAATCGAGAAATAGAAATATCTAAAATTTTAAAAATTGAAAATTCTAAAATTTAAAAATCGAAAAATTGAAAAATCGACACATCGAAAAATCCAGGAGTCAAAAATTGAAAAGTCGAAGAATCGAAATATTGAAAAATTCCAAAACTGTGTAACGGGCGATAAATTTACTTATTTTTGGAGATGTTGGTATGAATCAGAACAATCGTCATTGTCGTAAAAATCAAGGTTGTCCTTGTGAAACTTGGATTTTATGATTTCACACCATTCTAATCAAGGTTTATAATTTCACAGTTAAATATTGGCGCCGTTTGGCTGGACACGATGTCTTTGTCCAGTTTTATAATTTCATGGTTTAAATTTGTTAATTTTAACAAAAAGCACATTTTGCCACTAAAAATCTTCATATTACAGTTAATTAAGCCTAAATTTGGTGGAAACACAAATACTTTTACGAATCCCCAAATAAACTGGTAACTAGTAAACAATTTTGCGAAAACAACTCCTTTGGAGTGGTCTTTACTTATAAAAGTTCGAAAGATCCAAAAACGATCAGAGTCCTCTAGCCAGTTGCCTGTTTAGTGTGTGTTTGTGTTGTGACACAAAGGGGTAAGTGTTGACATCTCCAAAAATGTGCACGATTTCATAAAAAGTTCAAAGTTTTGTTTTTATTAATATTTTTAAAGTTCAATTTAATTTTGATGATAAATCGCCCTTTGTATTCTCGATTGGATAACGTTTTGAGAATTAGATCTATTTTTAAAGATTAATTTGCATTGAAATTATTAGTTAAACAGTTATATTGTTGGATGAACGCTGACCACGCAACTACTATAATGTTCCTTACCAAATTTTTGAGTTGTTACAAATTTTTGAGTTGTTACCAAATTTTGAGTTATGTTACCAAATTTTGAGTTATGGTACCAATTTTGAGTTTTGTTATATTTTTGTTTTAGATTTTTTTTAAACGATTGTTTTATTATGCTTTCAAAGATTTAGTTTCAAAGTTACAAAGTTTTCTTGAATTTATTTAAAAATGTTTTAATACTGAAGTTCATTTTCTGATAATTATATTGGCATATTAAACTACACTACAATTTATTGTTATACCAAATTATTCTCATATGACTAAATCTCTTTTGTACATACTCATTTCTAAATTAAATATAATTATTCATTTAAGCAAAATGCATATACTTGAAGTAGTCCCTTTGTCCAGTCACTAGAATGTGTTACCATCATCACAAACCAGCCTACGAACAAATAAATAATATTTTCACTATATGTCGGGCACAAGGTCCACGACAAGAGTTTTACAGTTTTATATATAATAAATTAACAAAAGTTAATTTTGAAAATCTCCCAAGCCCGTCACAACTGAAATATCGAAAAACCAAAAAATTAAAGAAAACCTGAAAAATGGTAAACTAAATCGGGCAATCAAAACATTGAAAAATCGAAAAATTTAAAAAACGAAAAATTATAAAATGGAAAATTTGAAAAAACAACAATTGAAAAACAGAAAATCTAAAACCGAGAAGTTGAAAAATCGAAAGATTAAGAAAGGGAAAAATTGAAAAATTGAAAAAGTAAAGAAATTGAAACATCGAAAAAATGAAAAATCCCAAAACTGAATTATCGAAAAACTGAAAAATGGAAAAACTGAAAAATCCGAGAACTGAAATATCCAAAAACTGAGAATCTAAAAAGTCGAAAGATCAGAAGAGTGAAGTCGAAACATCGAAACCTTAAAAAATCGAAAAATTGAAAAATCAAAACCCTGAAAAATCGAAAAATTAAAGAATTGAAGAACAGGAAAATCGAAACACTCGAGGGTCAAGAAATGGGAAAATCAAAACATCCATTAATTGAAAAATCGAAAAATTAGGAGTTTATAAAAGTCAAATTTGAAAAATTGAAAAATCGAAAATTTGACAAAACGACAATTGAAAAACAGAAAATCTAAAACCGTGAAGTCGAAAAATCAAAAGATTAAGAAATCAAAACATTTGAAAAATTCGAAAACTTGAAAAATTGAAACATCGAAAAAGTAAAAAGGTAGACACATCGAAAAATCCAGAAGTCAAAAATAGAACAGTTGAAGAATCGAAATATTGAAAAATCCCAAAACTGAAATATCGAAAAACTGAAAAATCGAAAAATCAAAAAGTGAAGTCGAAAAATAGAAACCTTAAAAAAATCGAAAAATTGAAAAATCAAAAACCTGAAAAATCAAAAAATTGAAGAATTGAAGACGATGAAAATTGAAACACTCGAAGGTCAAGAAATGGGAAAATCAAAACATCGATTAATTATTGAAAAATTGAGAGTTTATAAAAGTCAAATTTGAAAAATTGAAAAACCGAAAATTTGAAAAAACGACAATTGGAAAACAGAAAATCTAAAACAGAAAAGTCGAAAAATCAAAAGATTAAGAAATCGAAACATCTGAAAAATTCGAAAACTTGAAAAATTGAAATATTGAAGAGCTGAAATGAAAAATCGACAAATCTAAAATTTTAAAAACTAAAAAATCCAGGAGTCAAAAATCGAAAAGTCGAAGAATCGAAATATTGGAAAATCCCAAAACTGAAATATCGAAGAACTGAAAAATGGAAAAATTGAAAAATCCGAAAACTGATATCCAAAAAGTCGAAAAATTAAGAAATCGAAAAATCAAAAAAATAAAGTCGAAAAATCGATTAATTGAAAAATCGAAAAATTGAGAAAACGACAATTGAAAAACAAAATCTAAAACCGGAAAGTCGAAAAATCCTACGATTAAGAAAATCGAAACATTTGAAAAATTGAAATATTGAAGAATTGCAATGAAAAATAGAGATATCGAAAAATCTAAAATTATAAAAAATATTGAAAAATTAAAATATCAAAAAGTTGAAAAATCGGCACATCGAAAAAACCAGAAGTCAAAAATGGGAAAGTCGAAGAATAGAAATATTGAAAAATCTCAAAACTGGAATATCCAAAAACTCAGAATATAAAAATTCGAAAAATTGAGAAATTGAAAAATCAAAAAAGTGAAATCGAAATATCGAAATCTTAAAAAAATTGAAAAATTGAAAAATCAAAAACCTGCAAAATCGAAAAATCGAAGAATTGAAGAACTCGTAAATCGAAACAGTCGAAAGTCAAGAAATGGGAAAATCAAAACATCGATTAAATGAAAAATCGAAAAATTGAGAATTTGAATAATCGAAATATTTAAAAATCGTAACATTGAAAAGGAGAAAAATTTGAAAACGTAAAATTGAAACATCGGAAAATTGAGAAATCGAAAAACTGAAAATCGAAAACTTGAAAATTTGAAAAATTGAAAAATCCAGAAATTGAATTCTGAAAAATCCCTAAACCGAAATTTCGAAAAATTGAAAAATAAAAGAAAAACTGAAGAACGGAAAAACTGAAATATCCAAAAAGTGAAAAATCAAAAAATTGAAAAATTGAGAAATCAAAAAGTCAAAAAAGTGTAGTCGAAAAACCAAAACTTCAAAAAATGAAAAATTGAAGAATCGAAGAAATGAAGAATCTAAAACCTGAGAGTTTATAAAATTTAAATTTGAAAAATTGAAAAATCAAAATATTTAAAAATCGTACAATTGTAGAGGAGAAAAATTGGAAAAACGTAAAACGGAAACATTGGACATTTCAGGTCCAAAAACTGAGAAATTAAAAATTGAACAATTAAGAAATCGAAAAATCAAAAAAGTGTAGTTGAAAAATCGAAACCTGAAAAATCAGTTAATTGAAAAATCGACATATTAAGAGTTTATGAAAGTCAAAAATTGAAAAATTTTAAAATCCAAAAATTGAATAATAAATAAACTGAAAAATCCCCAAACTAAAATTTCGAAAAACTGAGAGTTGGAAAGTTGAAACATTTCTGAATGCTTAGAATCGACATTGGCCTGAGTGCGCTCTGGTCTGTAGATCAAACAAGTTCTCAGACGACGAATTGTTTGTCGATGACATAAATTTCGAATAACGTCATCCATTTTTTGAAGTAAATGAACACATGTAGTCACTAAATCACAGTTGTGTTCAATGTTTTTCCAAAAATTTGAAAGAAGTACATTGGTTTTTAGAGGCAACATAAATTTTGATAACTGAACTGAAATGAAGAATTAATCATTTGCGAGATTTCCTTACTGTTGTAGAGGTAAATTAGGGTAGGTAATAACATGCCCATAATGGTTATTTGTAACTACTTCTTAATGTTTTTCTAATGATGGTTTATCTAAATCATTGTGTCGTTATCTAGAGTACCTACATAGATAGTGATCTAAATAGTTTTACTGAAACCAATCGGTGGCCTGCTAAGGCTGACCAATAATCTCAAGGATGAAAAATATGTATAAATGGGTCAACATATTCATCATTACAATAATAAGAAAGAAAATTGTTCTTTGTTGATCACGATGTAGACTGCGATGACTTGATATGTTCTTATCATAACTTGTGCAACTTATATTTAGAAATAGAAAAAATTAAACGTTATTAAATAATAAATGACCGCTGTAATTAAATGACTGTTTAAACGCAATTTGCATTTTATTGCATGTTTTGAAAAACCATTTTTTCGTGTTTTTTGTTTGTAGTTTATTGTTTTTTCTTTCCTGGCCGATTTTAAATTCCATATGAGCATAAAACTGAGCATATTTGCCAAAAACTGTGCATATTTCGAAGGAATTTTGTGCATAATAATGCGCATATTTTAGCAAATATTTGTGCATATAAATCCGATCTTTAGTTATTTAATACTTCCGAAACTAATGCTTAATTTTAAACAGAAAAAAAAAAGACAGTAACATGTACAGATTCCTTGATTGGCAGCCTTGTGGCAGCCCTGCGCCCCTGTCAGCTGCCACTTTGATGATTCATAATTTGAGGTTATGTTATATAAATTTATAACTTTGTTTTGTACACAAAAATGATCTCAACTTTCTAAACCGCAACATAAATACAAAAAATGCATTCCGACATCTCATTCTCATTCTTTAAGTGTAGAAAATTCGAACGTCTCTGACAATCCACGAAAAATGGAAAACATCTTTGAGGAGCTGGGTGTACCAAAAAAATACCTCAAACACACGAACAAAGAGGGCTGCTTCGTGGCACTAGTGCATAAATTATGGCTCAAGTAAATACGTGCCAGAAACGTGAATTTTTAATTACGTGGTTGTTACAGGTCGCTGGTGAAATACTCGAAACTGACCGAATTCACGGAAAGGGGGCGTTTCGAATCCTGGCCAGTAAACGACGACGAATTGGGCTCGTCGTGGACGAAAATATTCGTTTCGGTTTTTAAGAAGCGCGACGTAAACGTGATTCCTCTTCCACGCATTCGGACTCTAGTCAGAGACGACCCCCCTTTATTATTCTGCCAGTTAATGCAATACATTCACCAAACCAACTACAAAAACTTGTGGAAAGAAGCGTACAAGAAGTACAATTGTAAAACCGAAATGAACAAAGAGACTCAGATTAATCTTGTGGAGTACAATGATGTTTTAAGGGAGATAATCACGAGAATTTATGGGTGTCCGATAATCAATGTTTGTGATTCTCGAACGAGTCCGGAAGCATCGAAGCCTTTCGACGTTCACTTGAACATCCTGCCTGCAGGCTGCGCCGTAGAAACCTTAAACGCAATATTTGTCCTACATGTACCGTTTCTGGAACATAACCTCAAAGACTGCGTGACTTTCAGTCCGGCAATTCTGAATAAGTGTTACGCCAAATCGTTGTTTATAATCTACCAGTTGTTACAAACGTTGAAGTCAATGCATGATCGCAGCCTCACACTGGGTGATATTTCTCTGAGTGATATTTACCTGACTGAAGATATGTGGATTTATATAATCCCGAGCATCCAGTCGAACATTTACGTCCAAGAAATCGCTAAAACTGATGCGAAAAGACACATTCCTGACTGCCGCAAGAACGGCCACAAATTTGACTTAAACCTAAAGTGTGAAAGCTGTGGTATGAAAACTTATGATAAAGTCCAAGTTTCGAACGAAAGTTTGCAGGAGCTGTGCCAATTGTGGGTGGAAGGGCAGATTTCGAACTTTACGTATATTTCGGCGTTAAATAAGCTCTCGGGGCGCAAACTCGGCGACCCAAATTGCCACCACGTGTTTCCGTGGGTCACGGATTTTGCGTCACGGTGTGGGAAGAACTGGCGCGATTTGAAAAAATCGAAGTACCGGATTAATAAGGGGGACAGGCAGCTGGATCTCACGTACGACAACCCCCAGTCTCAAGTGGCTCATCATGTGTCGGATGTGCTATCTTCGATTACGTACTATGTGTACATGGCGAGGAGAACCCCGAAGTCGGTTCTTTGCAAGAACGTGAGGACCGTGTGGGTTCCTGCGGAGTACCCGAGTTCGATCCAGAGGATGCAGGAGTGGACTCCAGATGAGTGCATCCCGGAGTTTTTTACAGATGCGGGGGTTTTTCGGAGCATCCATGACGATTTGGAGGATTTGGAGGTTCCGGGGTGGTGTTCGGGCCCGGAGGATTTTATTGAAAAGCATAGGGAGGCGCTGGAGAGCGTGCACGTGTCGGAGAGGTTGCATCATTGGATTGACCTAACCTTCGGCTACAAGTACGTACTCTAATAATAATAATAATAATAATAATAATATAGTTGAGACAATATATGCGTTTATTGAACAGATGGAGTGACCACTTGATCACATATTATCATATACAGGGTCATCAAAATTGATTGAGAGAGTTGGTACCCCCTGTTTTTGTCGTGAAGTTTGTCAACCTTATGACAGATTTGTTTAAGATTATATGGCAATGAATTCAGTGGCGTGACAAAAATTAGAAACTTCAAATCTGACAACTAATGTTTTTACCAAAAAAAAAGTCAAAAAAAGACGCCACTGAGTTTTGAAATTTGAAACTTGAAACTTCAAATCTGACAGCTAATATTTTTATACAACTTAATAAACCAAATTATTCAAGTTCAGGTTTACCAACTCTCTCAATCAATTTTGATGACTCTGTATATCATATTATCCATTCACGATTTTTATACAGTAAAGTAGGCTTTGATATTTTTTCTTTAAGTTGGATAAACTGATTTGATGATTTAGTTTTTTGTCTGTCAGTAGTCTGATTGACATTTGCTTTGAGCTGGATGCCACTTTTCTACAGTAGCGGTCATTTCTACGGAACCACTCGATAAAAAGTCAAGTTGGTAGCCCTGTCATCTAGTACTTTACGCCGAACGTGGTTGGTAGCGGTAAATGATATGGCAATCGAAACTAGCCAGAGATTTCTTAGTAACCTAGATACGGCAATGGACAGCAAAGTGTGGAACAACATGTATGAAAATAGTGTCGACATACTTTCAATTCTCTGTCTTTCTCTTACTCGTTGTAATGTGCACTACATACTAGTGTTATCTTCGTCTAATTCTAGCGACTGTTAACATTGGTTCATAATTTGGCGCACTGATTTAAAATGGTATAAAAGAGAATCATAACTCGAGTTTTTTAACAAGTGGCAAACGAAAAGTTTCTAAGCAATCTCCAAAATGATTTGTAATGTTAAGATTAAAATATTACACGGACAAGATCGTTGGAATAAATTTGACTGTCGACCTCCCTTTTTTCGTACTTTTTCTTTATCATTCACACCGGCGAAACTCTTGAAAAATGACATAATACAATTTTCTTATAGTCAAAAGTTTTTGTTGCCACGAACGTTTCTAACATAAATAGAGAGTCGTATTGTATTTATTTGCATGCACAATGTTGAGAGCTTAAAACGAAAAAGAAAAAAGACGCACAGCTGTGGTATAAATTTATTAACATTATTATTAAATATTGGTGATTTAATGTAATCTTAGTTACTCATTATTAAATAAAATGTATTTTACTAATTTACTTCTTATTTTCGCTTGTTTTGAAGCAAAATTTACCAGTTTTGCTTCGTGTTGCAAGCGGACTTTTAAATTAATAATTTTAAATTTGCGCTATTGCCTTCATCAATTGTATTTTGTGATTATCTAGTAATCCCTGAGAAATGCACTGATTGTTCATGTCGGGATTATTAAAAATCTTTGTAATATTTTTGCGAAACAAAAGAATTATTAGATCTTTCTTTGCATACAACACATACTCTGTAACCCATTTTTAGAAATTCTATGCAATTTAAACTTATAACCGTGATATAAATCTTATAACCTAAGAAATCTCTTAGAACAAACTAACAAACACACAAACACCGGCGATTGTATGAATTAAGCAATTAAGAACCGACTTGCGCTAGCAGAATTTAAGGGTTTACTGCGCAAAATCGTAAATTGCTAGGTTTAAACAAAGACCTACAAAATCATACTCCTGCGTTCCCATGCTGTAAAAGAAGATGGAAAGCAAAACGCATAGTGTACATGTTGGCCAAGAACGTATGTTCGCTTTTGCATAGGATCACCGTATCTAGGTTACTAAGAAATCTCTGAAACTAGCACAACACGAATGTTTCGGTTGCCCTCAGTTATGCCGCACTGTATCCCGTGCAGACTGTATGTTCTGTTCATCTATTTATTAAAATAAAATATCTACATTGACAATGGGGCCATCTAACCTGTCAAATTTTTGACACATATGTTTTCCCCCAGAAACCCGTCAAGGTCACTTACACCAAACAAATTTTGAAAATTTACACTAGGGAGTGGTTCTATAGAAAAGATCGCGACTTTACTTCATTTATTAGATCAGCAAACAAATGTTTTAATTTTGTCAGCATAGATAATTTGTCATTGTGACAGATTCACAGATCATTGCGACATTATTTAAAAAGAAAATGCCTAAAATAGTTTTAAATCGGATAAATCAAAAATCGAAACATCGAAAACTCGAGAAACTGAAAACCAAAAAATCGAAATATCGTAAAATTCAAAAACTGAGACATCGAGAAATCGAAAAATCGAAAACTTAAAACGTTGAAAAGTTGAAATATCGTAAAATTGAAAAATGGGGAAATCCAAACATCAAAAAATCAAAAAAATAAAAATTCGAAAATTTAAAATTTAAAAATCGAAAAACTGAAAAATTAAAATATAGAACTGGAAACTCGAAAAATTGAAAAATCTAGAAATTTAAAAATTGAAAAAATAAAATATGGAAAAGTTGAAAAATTGAGAAATTGAAATATAAAACGATCAAAAAATTGAAAAATCTAAAGTATAAAAAACGAAAAACTGAAAATTCAAAAATAAGAATCGAAAAATCTCGAAGTCGAAAAATCAAAGAATCAAAATATTGAAAAATATCAAAACTGAAAGAAATATCCAAAAATTGAGAAATCGAAAAACCGATAAAGTGAAGTCGAAAAATCGAAGAATTGAAAAACTGAAAAATCGAGAAGTGGGAAAATCAAAAATAGATTAATTGAGAAATCAGAAAACTGAAAATTTGACGTCAAAATTTGATAAATTGAAAAATTTAAATACTGAAGAACTGAAAAGTCAAAAAATCGAGAAATCGAAAAATCTAAAATTTAAAATATTGAACAATTAAAATATCGCAAAATTGAAGAATCCAGAAATCCATTTCAATTTAAAAATTTGAAAAACTGAAAAATCGGAACATTGAAAAATTGGAAAATCCAGAAATTGAAAAGCACAAAAGTAAAAAATCTAAAAACCGAGAAATCCAAAAATTGAAACATCGAAAAATTGGAAAATCGAAAATTTAAAAATTCCGAAAATTGGAAAATTGAAATATAGAAGAACTGAAAACTCAAAAAATCGAAAAAACCTAGTATTTTAAAAATTGAAAAGTTAAAATTGAGACATCGAAAAACTGAAAAATCACAAAATTGAACGAAATATCCAAAAATTAGGAAATCAAAAAATTGAGAAACAGAAAAGTCGAAAAAACAGAGTCGAAAAATCGCAAACTTAAAAAATCGAAAAATTGAAATATCAAAAACCTGAAAAATTGAAGAACTGAAGAACTGAAAAATCGAAACTTTAGGAAGTGGAGAAACGGGAATATAAAAAAATAGATTAGTTGAGAAACCCGAAAAGTGAAAATTCAGAAACGTCAAAATTTGAAAAATAACAAAAATATTGAAGAACTGAAAAATCGAAAAATCGAAAATTTATAACATTGAAAAGTTGAAATATCGTAAAATTGAAAAATGGAGGAGTCCAAACATCAAAAAATCAAAAAAATAAAAATTCGAAAATCTAAAATTTAAAAATCGAAAAACTGAAAAATTAAAATATAGAACTGAAAACTCGAGAAATTGAAAAATCTAGAAATTTAAAAATTGAAAAAATTAAATATGGAAAAGTTGAAAAATTGAGAAATTGAAATATAAAACAATCGAAAAATTGAAAAATCTAAACTATAAAAAACGAAAAACTTAAAATTCAAAATTAAAAATCGAAAAATCTAGAAGTCGAAAAATCAAAGAATCAAAATATTGAAAAATATCAAAACTGAAAGAAATATCCAAAAATTGGGAAATCGAAAAACCAATAAAGTGAAATTCGAAAAATCGAAGAATTGAAGAACTGAAAAATCGAAACTGAGAATTGGGAAAATCAAAAATAGATTAATTGAGAAATCAGAAAACTGATAATTTAACGTCAAAATTTGATAAATTGAAAAACTTAAATACTGAAGAACTGAAAAGTCAAAAAACGAGAAATCGAAAAATCTAAAATTTAAAACATTGAACAATTAAAATATCGCAAAATTGAAGAATCCAGAAATCCAATTCAATTTAAAAAATTGAAAAACTGAAAAATCGGAACATTGAAAAATTGGAAAATCCAGAAATTGAAAAGCCCAAAAGTAAAAAATCTTAAAACCGAGAAATCCAAAAATCGAAACATCGAAAAATTGGAAAATCGAAAATTTAAAAATTCCGAAAATTGAGAAATTGAAATATAGAAGAATTGAAAACTCAAAAAATCGAAAAAACCTAGTATTTTAAAAATTGAAAAGTTAAAATTGAGACATTGAAAAATTGAAAAATTACAAAATTGAACGAAATATCCAAAAATTAGGAAATTAAAAAATTGAGAAACAGAAAAGTCAAAAAAGCAGTGTCGAAAAATCGCAAACTTAAAAAATCGAAAAATTGAAGAACTGAAGAACTGAAAATCGAAACTTTAGGAAGTGAAGAAATGGGAATATAAAAAAATAAATTAATTGAGAAATCCGAAAACTGAAAATTCAGAAACGTCAAAATTTGAAAAATAAAAAAATATTGAAGAACTGAAAAATCGATAAATCGAAAATTTAAAACATTGAAAAGTTAAAATATTCTAAAATTGAAAAATGGAGAAATCCAAACATCAAAAAATCAAAAAAAATCAAAATCTGAAAATCTAAAAGTTAAAAATCGAAAAACTGAAAAATCAACGAATCGCGAAGTCGAAAATTTAAAAAATTGGAAAATTGAAAAATCGGATAAATCAAAAATCGAAATATCGTAAAATTCAAAAACTGAGACATCGAGAAATCGAAAAATCAAAAGACCAAAAAATCGAGGAGTCGAGAAATCGAAAAATCGAAAAATTGAGAAACCGAAATAGGCCAAAATCGAATGGAAAAATTGATAAAGCGAGAGGTT